GCACGAAGAATGAACCAGCTCTGTCCGTGGGTGGCCCTTCAAACCCTCTCCAGAAGCTCAGGAAGCTAAACACAAAAGTAAAACTGATCTTCACCCCTTTGCCTCCATGAAGCATGGCTTGGCTGCGTTAATTTGTGGTTCCCCCAGACATTCTTCCTGACCTGTTTTTCCATGTTCATCTTCAAGAGTGACCATAGGAGATGTGTGTGGTCAAGAAATGTGGTTGAGCTTTCCACAATGCCCTCACCGTCCACTCTGCCGGTAACTCCGCCATCATTGCTAACCAAGAGCAGTCTTAACAGAGCCAAGTGCTGTCTGGTGGGCTTCGAGGAGGTGCTTCTCTCAGCGACAACACACATCTGTGGCATTTGGCAGCTTACCTCCCCCCTCCCCAATCATTACACTCAGCATGAAATCCCAACACCCTCACTGGCATAAGGGTTTGGCAGGCTCCACCCCTGCTGACGACCCTCCCCCTCATCTAATACCACTCTCCAGCTTGTCTCACACTCTTCAGAGACACTGGCCTACTCTCTGTTCTCAAATGTGCCAAGGTTATTCCTGCCTTGGGGCCTTTGCACTAACTACTCCCTGGCCCAGAATCAAGCCCCCACCTCCGTCTTCTCATTGTTGTTAAATCTTGACCCAAATGTCACTTGCTCATTGAGGTTTTCCTGACTCCTCAGTCACACTCTGACACACTGCCCTGCTTTAATTCCTTGCATGAGAACATGCAAGGAATATCTAACATATTTCATGTTTGCTTATTTGTCCAACTTCCCTACTAGAACACAGGTTCCCTGGGGGCAGGAACCACATGTATCTGTTGGGTCCACGGCTATGTCCCCCATACTGAGAGCAGTAGCTGGCACATTTTGAATGAGATGGCTTGACACTCCATCACTGTGACTTTTGCAGAAGCAGGAACAGAACAAAGGGGGCTGAGATCCAGGGTCCTGAGTAGTTTCCAGAAGAGGAGTGAACCACTTCAGGAGCCTGAGGATGGGGGGGAGGGCGGGCTTTGAAGCAACCTTATATCCTCTCTGAGTCTATTTTTCTCCCACAATAAAGCTCAGTATCCTGAAAGCTATTTGTAAAACTGAATGAGAAAAGGAGCTGGGAAAAAAACCGAGTGCTTCCCTGTAGAAAGAAATACCAATGTGGTGATTATTTTATATTTCAGTTAAGAGCTATGGATTCAAAAACTGGAAATGATGTCAAATTATCCTGGATCCTCCCACAGCCTCATTGGTGGATATTTCCTACTCCCATTGGAGAGTGGATGGAGAGCTGATGTTTTCAGACCCCAGGGTAGGAAGCATCAAGAATCAGAGAGGAGCAACCCTTTCGGTCCGTTCCCCTTTGGGAGCTTTTCTGTCCTCTCAATAACTCCTGCTTTAAAAAAAGAAAGAAAGAAAGCAAGCATGGGGCTGCCCTCCCATAATGATCTTCCCCCAGGCCCTCAGTTGATGAATGGACAAAGTGAGGCCTGGCATGGAGGAGCCCTATGCCCAAGGCCCCAGTTTAACAAGCTGTAATTTTGCAAATCTAAGATGCTACAGATTGTCAGAGGTACTCTTAAGTACCACTAGCAAAGAAGAGAAGATGTATCCAGGATATACTGATTGTAGGATGCATTTGATTTCCAAGATATTAAAATCTTGGGGTGGGGGGAGGCGGTCTTAGAATTAATGACATGGGACTTCTCATGTTGACATAAGATGTTGTGGCTTCTGGTTTCAGTGGGTTGTGGCCCAGGGACCCTGGAGCTCTGCTGGAATGACATTCTGAGTCACTAGAGCAAAATTTTTCAACCTTGGTGCCAGTGACATTTAGTGCTGGATGATTCTGTGTTGTGGGACTGGCCTAGACATTATGGGCACTTAGCATCTCTGGTGTCTACCCACTAGAGAAGGCAGTGGGTAAACGTCTGTAGCATCTCCTCCCAGTTCTGGCAATCAAAAATGTCTCCTCAGCTGGGCATGGAGGCTCACACCTATAATCCCAGCACTCTAGGAAGTGGGAGGATTGCTTGAGGACAGGAGTTTGAGACCAGCCTGGGCAACATAGCAAGGCATAATAGCATAAAAAAAAAATTAGCCAGGTATGGTGGCATGCACCTATAGTCCCAGCTACTCGGGAGGTTGAGGTAGAAGAATCACCTGAGCTCAGGAGGTCAAGGCTGTGGTGAGATATGATTGTGCAACTGTACTCCTGTTTAGGCAATGGAGTGAAACTCCAACAAAAAAGTCTCCACAGCTGGGCTCGGTGACTCAGCCTGTAATCCCAGCACTTTGGGATGCTGAGGTGAGTGGATTGCCTGAGCCTACAGGTTTGAAACCAGCCCTGGCAACTTGGCGAGACCTCATCTCTACAATAAATAAAAAAAATTAGCTGGGCATGGTAGTGCGCACCTATAGTTCCGGCTACTTGGAAGGCTGAGGTGGTAGGATCGCTGAAGCCCAGCAGGTTGAGGCTGCAGTGGCCGTGAGCATGCCACTGCACTCCAGCCTGGGCGACAGAGTGAGACTCCAACTCAAAAAAAAAAAAAAAAATCTCCAGATATTGCCCAGTGTCCCTTAGTAGGCAAAATCACCCTGTGGAGAGAGGAAAGCATAACAGTATGTGGTATGTTGCAAAGGGTGGAAGTAGGGAGTTAAGCAGGCTTCTTCATTTCTTGAGCCTTCAGAATACTGATGTGCACATGGACTCTCCAAGTGGAGTAGAAGAGGCAGGTCTCCCAACTGTATTTGAGCACAAAGCCCCTTTCTGCAGAACTGATAGGCCTGGAATTCTAAGGACTCTACCCTAGGACCCTGAGGGTGGGGCCGAGGGAGGAAAGTCATCATCCACACATTCGTCCGTTTGCCACCTGGTGATTCTGGTCTCTGAATCTGACCTGCTCCACCCACCTCACTGCTTTTCTCAGCCCCCTTCAGGGGCCAAACACCCAACCCAGTGCTAGGCTGGCCAGAGAGGGCTCTTGATATGCTTGTTTGGGTGAAAAAGAGAGTCTGTCAAGCCCAGGCCTCTGAGCTAGGGGCCACAGCTAGATTGTTCAAGCCCTCCTTCAGGGGGACAGCCCCCACAGACAGTAGAGGATACTGCTGGTGCCAGGAGAGCAGGCTTTGGAAAGATGACCCTGTGACTCAGAGGGAAAGACCGACCAGACCCTCCCCCCAGCATGGCAGGCCGTGGCAGTCATACCTGCCAGCGCTACACACCCAGTCAAACAAGCCTCCCTCTGCCCATGTTGCTGTCCTGTCTTCCTCCACAATCACTCTGGCTGGAAAAGACAGCTGAGTCTTCTTTTCACTGTCTGCCTGGCCTGGAGCCATTCAGGAAAGAGGACACACCTCACAGTATTCACACTGGCATTCTCATTGTTTAAAAAAAAAAACCACAAGAACAACAGTGAAAGTGAAGGCTGGAATTATGATGAGGCAGATCTAAGGGTGAACAGGCCCAGGTCTGGGGACTTGGTCTAAGAATGCCCATCTCACATCTCCTGAGGACATCAGGAGGAGATGCCCCATGTCTCTCCCCCACAGAGAATTTCTCTTAAAAATGTATTGAAGTAGTAATATAAATATAAATAAAATGTTTTAAAAGCCTGGGAGAATTTTCCTAGGAAACACCCATCCCTAAATGTCACCTCTCCCATGCCTTGGGTGAATCTCCAGAGGTCATAATTTCCCGCCATCTCCAGTTTTGAGTTCTTCTGCTGGCGGCTTCCACATCCCTAAATCATGTATCTGATGAAAAGCTTTTATGTCTTAATGGCAGACAATAGCCAAAGGCTCCCCGCTCTGAGAGGCAAGGTTCTGACCAACCGCGCAATGTACTGCCACCCTCTTCCCAACCAGTGTCTAAGAGTCCTGCTACTATCTTTAGTTCTTCCTTGGGTTACCTGCGTTGCTTTAGGTCAACTATTTAGGCCTCTGACTGCTTCTGTTACAAGAACTTTACAGAGGCTCTCACCTCCCCTCCACAGAGGCTAAGGATGTCATGGCTCCTTCTGCCTCCTCAACGCTGTCCATCTTCCACAATCTGTCATATTCTCAAGCTATTAAGGATTAAATTCCCAGTTGCAACTACAGCCTTGACTTCAGTGCTTTTGTACCAGGTTGAGTCCTAAAGTTGAAAACTGACAAATGTAGTTTACACGCCATACGATGGTGGCGACATTGGTGAATTCATGCAACATGGAAGCCAGATTCTGTTTGGGGATTGGATATCCCAAAAAAGAAAAACAGACAGAACTCCACCATTGGGGAGCTGACACTCTAGTGAGGGAGAGGGAAAGTCAACCAGGAGCAGGACTCTGGGGACAATAAAACAGCATGTAAGTGACTGGGTGAGGGCTCTGAATTGAGTGGTCATGGAAGGCTTCTTAGAGGAGGTGACATTTAAAGAAAGGCCTAAACCACAAGAAAGTAGATGTAGCTCTCCCACTAATGGGTTCTGTAAACCGCCTCTTGGAATCTTAGACAAACCTCCCATCTCTTATTGGAATGGTTACCTAGAATGCCTTGGCTTGATTACCTTTGCAGACAGACAACTCATGTGCTCACAGGATTTCCCTCACACCTTTCCAGGCATTCTCTTTGAAAGATGCCCTGCAAAAATCTGTTTCCCTTTAGCTTCTGCTCCTTGAAGTCTACAAGAGAGCCACGAGGAGCAGTTCCATCCAAGCTTCAAGTCCCCCTTTCCCCCATAGACAGGGACCAGCTCTGATGCCTCACCTCCCCGGCTATCTCCTCCACCTCAGTGCCTGAGAGGGAGACAACATTCAGCCACCAGAGCTGCTGCTGCCATTGTCAAGGAGATATCAACCTGCTGAGCAACAGGCCTGAGATCTCCTAGGCCCACCCTCCCTGGGTTTAGGCCGTAAGATCCCGAGCCAGGTCTCAGACCCCAGTACCCAGAGGCTCTGCCTTTCCATGGGAGGTGGGTATGGGGGCCCTCCCAGTTGCCCTGAATTGGAGAGTGCACAGTACCTGTTGGAGGCAGAGAGCTCCTGTGAGGGCCAGGGCTGGCTGGAATCCCAGGAGAACTGCTGGGACGTTCCCAGGTGGTCTCTGGTCAAGGGAAAAACAAACAAAATCACTTTGAGAATTTCACAGGGCAGTACCCCAGGGTGTCACAGTGCAGAATGAGAGAGTCAGAGCTGGAGAAAACAGAGATTTGGCCGGTGCTCCCAACGCCTGGCCAGATAGAAGCTTGTTTCTATTTCCACACCATCTCCCTTCTCACCCCATAACAGAGCTGCTCTTTGCTGGGGTCCTGTGTCCATGGGACCAGGGTCAGGAGCAGGTGGACTTTCAGTTGAAATGCTCCAATGTCTCTCTGGGTCTCTCTCTTACCCCTGCCCCTCTGCCTACGCTGCCAATGCATTCATTCCATCTTCTACCCCAAGGTCTCCCAACTCTCCTGGAACCCTGGTGCCAACTGGATATTTCTCCTCAGATGCCCACTGTCACCTGAAACTCCAAAGCAGAGAGGAAGGAGTGCTGGTCTGGAGATCTATGAAGAGACATGGGTCTTCTGTCAATGGGGGTGACTTCCAAGGAACTTCCAGATTCTACAACTCTATGTCTTGTTTGAACCATAACTGCCATGCCTGCCTAGCTACCTCCCCCTCTCCCAATGCCCAGAGACATGCTCAGTCAGAAATATAATAAAACACAGTATTTTCCTCCAAACACTGCTTTACCCATCTCACTGTCATGAGGAGACTTCTTAGAAAATTATCTAGTGATAAAAATTCTACTTTCTCACCATATACAATTTGATACTGCAGGAAATTGCAAAGAAGAAAATAAGTATCACCCATCATCCCACCACTCGGGGGTCATCACCATCAACATTTTTGTACCCATATGTCGATTTGTTTTCTAAGCATATGTTCATCTTTAAAACAAAACAAATCAAACTGCGCGTTCTTTTCACATATCAGCGTTTGTGAATATCTTCACAAAATCATTAAGGGGGCTGGATAGCACCGTAGTTAGGCTCTATTTAAGAAGGAGATTCTAGAGCCAGACTGCCTGGGTTTGAATCCCAACCCTGCCTCTTACCACCAGTATAACTTTGGCCAAGCTGCTTATCCTCTCGGTGCCTCAGTTTCCTCCTCTGTAAAATGCGTCCAATAATGGTCTCTACCCAAGATATGGGTCATAGGGAGGAGCCCAGATGCCCATATACAAGCTTCCAGCATAAAGTTGTTTTTAAAGTTAGTCCAACACATGGATATAATATTAATTAATCAAAAATTATATCACTGAAAATTCAATTGTTTCAAACATGAAAAACAAAAACAAACAAAATCCTTTCAACGGCTTCTCTCAAGATTCAAGAGAACTGGGTTCTTGCCTCAGCTTTGTTCCTAGTAAGCCCTGAGTAAGTCATACCACCTCTCTGGTCCTCTGATTTTCATCCAAAACGAAGAAGCTGGGCTCACTGGTCTCTTGGTCCCCAGTACTCTAGCTTTGACTAGTAGTTTTCAAAGACAGTGTTTGGGTTTCAGGAAGAGTGAGCCTAGGGCTTCAGGGACAGGGTGTAGCAGTGGTTATACGGTTCCTTCATGTGTTAGGAACTGAGGGTGGGTCAGGAAAGTGGATGAGAGGATGTGAACATAAACAAGAGAGTAGTGGGATCTTCTATGAGGGAGACAAGGAGGGGCCAACCAGTGGGTTGAGGGGCTTCCGTGACTTGGAAGAGAGGAACAGGACTTGGAGAACTGACCTGAAGACCACTTCCCTGCTTGGGCCCAAGGGCCCTGGAAAGCATTCAAAGACTGGCCATTCATATGCTCAGTGACTCTGCAGCCACCTAAACTCTGTATTTGTTTTTCTCCACTCTAAAATGGGAATGAAAATGGCACGCAAGTAGCACCATGAAGAGCATTAAGTAGGTCAACATGTGTAAGGAGCTTAGGATAACACGGGGCACACAGCAAGCACTTCATCAGCATTAAACAAAGAGACAAGCCAAGCTGGAGGGTGCAATGTGGGAGCTGAGACAAGCAAACAGCCTTCAGAAAAAGGAAGGAGGTGACCCCAGGGGGCAAACCCCCCACCCAGCTTCAGACTCCTTCTTCCTTAGGAAGAGCTTTTCTTCTCTTCAGTCCACTGGATCAGCCCCACAGGAAGGCCACCCTGCAGCCTCTCACAGGCTCAAGCCCAGGGTCCCCTCTCCAAACCACTCCTCCTGGGCTCCCTGGCTTTCTGGAGACCTAGGGACAAGACCCACCCAGCTCCTCCCTATGTCCCATCCCTCATATCTACTTGGCTCTAGGGCCTAGAATACCCCTCCATCACGCTCCCCTCCATCTCACTCCTGAGTGGGTCTCCCTGCCTCTTGGAATCCATCCATACCCAACTAGTGGATGGCTCACCCTGAAGCCCAGCTCTCGACAGAGGTCACTGATCAGTGAAAATCCCTGGCTGGCTCCTTCCCAACATGGCACACAGAATAAATTCCAATGTCCATAGCCCTCCTGGCAAAGTGCTCTGGGGTCTGAGCCCTGTCTGCCTGTCCAGACTGATGTCCCACTGGCTTCACTCCAGGCCCAGTTAACTCGATTCACTGGTCTCTGAATATGCTGTTCCTGTATTGTTCACTTACCCCCACCACCTCCTCCATCTGCTATCCCTGAATATCATAATCTTGAACATTCATCAAGTCTCAACGAAAATGCCTCTTCTGCCATGCAGCCTTCCAAGATTGGTTTTCTTCCCTGCAGGCAAGCCCCCAAATTCTCTAGAGTGAGTGCTGTAGTGCACCACCCAGCTCCCTCCATCTGGCAGAGGATCATAGCAGAGTCCTTCTCAGGCACTGTCCTCTGCCAAAAGAAGCTGCCCTGTCCAAGGCCATGCCAGGGTAGGGGATGTGGGGTGCACATATCATGGCCGTGGGGGAGATCAAAGGCCCACCAATCCCCTTGCCTCAAGTCAAGCAATTCTGAAGGGCCCTCCCAGCTCAGAGCTCTCCATGGGTGTGGCCGAGACCTTCCTGGTGCCTGCACTGCAATGCTGCTACCTCCCCTTCCCTAGAAGTTGCCCCAAGGAGTACACTCCCTATTAACCTCCTGCATATAAATCTGCCTCACATGTGTCTGAGAACCTGCCCTAAAACACCCAAACACACACGTTCCAGCCAGCTTTCTTCTAGAAAATCTGCACTCGATCCGCCTCTCAGACAGCACAGACCTTAGCCTCGACGTCTACCTAATCTCCTTGAGGGCTGAAGCTGGCTGGTTCTCCCCCTCAAACATAGTACCTTGTCTGATGGAGGTATGGACAGATGGGCCAACAGAGAGACAGATGCTGTGACGACACAATGGAGATTCCTACCTGATGTGCAAACAGACAGCAGGAACGGTCCCAGATGATTGTCCCCCTGAGGCCACTGACCTTACTTTAAAAGGAAGCACCAATAGCTTACATGCAGGCTCTACCATTTTATCTTCTGGCTACAGCAGGGTCTCAATTCCTGCACTGACTCTTCTTTCTATCCATGCACCCACTCATCCATCTCAGGTACCTAGTACCTGCAAGCCACCACCAGCAGCGGGGACACAAACGCAGAGCCTAACTTTAAGACAAGTACTACTGAGCAGAGGAGCTGCCAATCCCTGTTCCTCCACCCACCTCCACCCCACTTGAGGTCTCCAGTGAACAGAACTATAAGCAGCAGAAGCCAATACAGCATCAAGCTGCTCAAGTCGCTGCTGAAGGAAACTCTAAACCACAGGTAGAAGCTGGCCTGCAGTCAGAACCCTGTTCTCCATGTGGGGTCCCGATGGAAGTCCCTTATCCCTGCACTTGCTGGCCTGGGTCCCTCCCAGGTACCCCAGAAGCTGGTGTCCCCATAAGTGCATAAGTACTGTCTATCTCAGCTTTCAATGGGCCCCATCAGGGACGAAGCAGCTGCCAAAGGATTCAGCCCAGTCCACCTCCTAGTCTTGGCCAGATCTGACCAACCCCAAACACAAAGTCAACTGGCAGCCTGGGGCAAGGATGAAGACAAGCCAGACCAGGCCAGGCTGACATCTGGAAGGAGTCATCGGGGCTCTGGATGGGTGACCTCATCAGCAGCAGGACACATCACCCCAGATAACCATACCACCCACAGGGAGGAAGCTGTTTCCAGGTCTTTTCTGATAAAAAAAAACAAAAACAAAACAAAACTCCTTAATCTGCTTATGGCACACCAGGTTCCTTGATCAAGCCAAAGCAAGACTGAAGTGGCAGCTCAGGGCCCAAGAGACCCTGTATTGAGGCTCGTTTCCATTCTCTGGGCTTCCATCCATGTAGTCCTAGAGGTCAACCCAGGTGAATTCCCAGTCTCTTACTAGCCAAGTCACAGCCAGGCAGGCCCCCAAGGTTCTAGGAAGAATAGTGAGATCAGAATGGAAGAAGTGAGACATGCTCCAGGGAGCTCCTTCCCACCCAACTCAATTCACACAAAACGATTTTTTTCCTAATGGCAACTAGAACTTGCTTTGGAGTCCTTCCACTGAAATGAGGTCAGCCAGACATACATAAATGAACTGACCATGGATGAAACCAGTCCAAGGGAGGTTATTATTCTAGTATCAGTGCTAAGAGCCACAGATGTTAATTTTCTCATCAGCGGATTATAGTGGATGCCCATGTAGAATAAAACTTTCAAAGAGAACCGGTCATGGTGACATGTGCCTATAGCCTCAGCTACTTGGAAGGCTGAGGTGGGAGGATCCCTTGAGTCCAGGAGTTTAAGTCCAGCCTGGACAACATAGCAAGACACTGCCTAATAAATAAATAAATAAATATTTGTAAAGAGAGAGTATAGTTGAAAGGTTGAAAGCTACATAAATCTGAGTTTCAAAGTACAGATGTCCCCCTTTTAAAATAATAATAAAATTTTTTTTAAACAGTGAGCTAGGTAGGAGTTACTAATTTTAAACAATCACTTCCGGACTTCATTTCCTCTTAAGATTGCATCCTGCCTACATTAGGGATACTGGTCTCCAGTGGGAAAGCCACAAGGAGCCCCTGGACCTAAGCCACTGGTTATGGCCATTGGCCATGGCCCC